AGCAGGGCTACGTGTCCTGTGCTGCCACCACACAGGTATGTGCCCGAGTAAGGAGTTCAGCAGCGTTCTCAACCTTCACCAACTGTGTTTGCCCCGAGGCAGTGACAGCAGAAGCACAGGGAGAAGAGCAAGCCCGGTTTAGGGTTTGTTTCATACCGGGGGGCAGGGAAGAGGGAACACTAGGCACTGGCGCTGCTGCCAAGCGCTTTGTTAGCACAGAACAGCAACCCTAAAGTGAATTTTCACAAGTAACCTCTCAGTACGAGTACCAACCATTTGGTGCTTCCATGTCCCCAGATGCCCTATGCACTCTGCCACTACAGGTTTATACTGTAACATAAGAAGTCAGATCAGGGAACTGATCCAGCTCAGCTGAAAAAATAGCAATGTTAAAAAAAAAAGTTTCCAGCCAGCTCAGTTGCTCAGCTCTTCACCATACAGCTATCCACACACTTATCAGTGCTGCAAGGCATGCGTAAGCAAAACTGCTGCTCATTATCCATGGTCCTAGATAAAAAAAAAAAAAACAACCAAAAACCAAACACCCTCAATCACACCATATCACACCATAAGTCCAATTCGCTCTGTAACCCTTCTCCTGGGCGTCCCAGCAGACAGAGGTGAGGAGAACCACTCTCTCCAGGCCAAAGAATACTCGTTCCACCTCCAGCAACCAAGAGCTGAGGGGATTCCCAAGCTCGAGACCGCATCCAGATCATCACGTCTAACAGCCACCGATGGATCCACTTCAATTTCCTACTTTCATTCTGCACCCATTTATATTTTCCCCTCCAAAACTTCCCATGACAGCAAGTTTTACAGCTCAGTTACCTATGTATAGGAATGATTTTTGCATCTCCTGCTGCCTGATGATTTCTGGACCCCACGTCATGGAAATGACTGAACAGGAGTTGGGGTGGGTTTTTTGTTGGGGGGGTGGGGGTGGTTTGTTGTTTGGTTTTTTACTAATTCGCCTACTCCATGCCAGGAGTCAGATGTGAACTGAACCCACAGCCTGGGCACAATGTAAACAAAACTCAAAGTTGGTTGCCGCTCCTGCAAGCGAAGCTGTAGATATGAGACAGAAAAGAAATATAAAGAAAAAGCAAGCCCGTACTTTCAACTCCTGTAGTAATACTCTTTTTTTGGCCCCCAGAAACTACTTGTTTTTCCAACTTCATCGCAACCACCATACAGCTAAAAGCATTTTCACAATTCAAAACATAATTTGCATCTAGTTTGTTCTCCCACAGTCTGCCAAGTTTTTCCCCATTCTCTATCTGGGACTCCTTCCTTCCCAATATTAATATCTCACAATCATGGGCAAACAAATCCTCACAAGATGTACGAAGAAACTTGCTATATTTACTATTTTTGATATCTGAGGACTGATTTTAAAAAATTTCACTGCTTAAATGTGCCCATATGCAATGATTCCAAAGCAAGTGCTTAGCAACTCAAAATCACTTCTAATAAAGGCCAAAGAAATAAATAATTAAAAAAAGAGGAAAAAAGGATTTAATCAGAAAGTAGTTTTCATATACCTTTGCATTTAAAACAATACAGTTTTGCACACTCCTAGCATAGCTTTGACATCAAGACCTTGCTGCGTTCAGAATAAAATATGGGGTGACCAAACCTGCTTTTTCTCCCTCTCTTTGGATTTGTAGAGTTGCAGTCAGCATGAGCAAAGACCAGAAATACCGAACGCAACTGCATCTTCAGTATGGGTTAAGATCCATGAAAGCTTTACCTACATCAGTAGCATTTAGAGGGTACCTCACAATGATTATATACGCTTTGTTCTCTTGAGCACATTACTAGAAGTAGTCAGATTTCATGGGAAAACATTTTTTGTGACTCACCTTAATCTGCATTTTACTTAGTCAAACAATAGCAATTACATGCCTGAGTTCAGTTTTGACATTCATATTTTTAGACAGACATCCTTGCAAGAACAGCCCTCTCTACCTGCTTATGCCCAGGCAGCAAAGGCCAGCGCTCTACCTGCTGACCCTGAACAGCTTCACAAAGCGTGCCCACAGAGCTCTGACAGATCATTTTTTGACAGTTCAGTTCAAGCTGTCATCAACTTGACACGTTGAATGCCAATAAAAAAAATTACTAAGGAAAATTAAGATCTCAGGTAGACATTGGCTGGAAGCTACTTATACTAACATTTTTATTATTAAAAATAAAAGAAAATCTGCTGGCAGCACGAGTGGCAGCAGAGAAACTACTAACATTACTAGCGTTTGGGGAGAGGGGAGACCAGGCAGCAGTCCATTTAAGGGAAGCCTCCAGTACTCAGTGCTTCGGAGCACCAGGGAGCAACACCACTGCCCAGAGGAACAGCTACCACAGACAGACCTGACCTAACTGTAGAGTATCCGCAGAGCACAACTGAAAAGTCACCACAATTTCTCAAAAGAAGATACCATAAAAACAATCTTTGCACCAGAGCATTACTGGAGAGCTATTAAAAATAAGAATGGTTTGTGACAGACTAAGTCTTCTATAATTTATTCCCTTTCTACCTGAAAACAGCAACATAGCATTTGAGGACAAGGCCCCTGCTCTCTCCAGGGAGGTTACGATGACTTAGGGATTCTTGCAGAAGAGCCATCTGGATTATTTATAGTACCTCTAGACAGGGTAATGAAATCATTCACACAGGCACCTCATCACATCCAAAAGCTTAACTGCTGCTTTAGCAGGAAATATTAGATTGAAGTGATTCAAAGTCAAATGTCAAATTTTACTCGGTTAACATCGAATTACATGGACAGTAAATTATATCCAAACTGCCATCATGGATCATGCTTAATCAGTCCTTAAAATGTGTAAAGATAAAAGTAAGTGAATGCAAGTTACTAACGTTATTATTTTATCTTCACTTACATATGCAGACAAGCCTTTGATTTTATAGAACTAAAACACTTCCCCCCACTCGTATTTTATATACACGGGCTAGTTTCAATATTCTTTGAGACCCATCTTTTCCTGTAAAGACTAGAAAGACTGAACCAGTCCCTGCTTGCAGCCATCAGTACTACTGTACATTTTACTTGTTTGACTATCTCCGGTTCTTGGTGGAGCTCAGCGCAAACACAGAAGCATGAATCAGAGCTAACAAGCTACCAAGTATTTTTTTTTTTTAAAATATAAGGAGAGATTCAGCCAATAAGCCAATCACCTTCAATGTCATCTACTGTGTACACAAGTACTTTGGAAATAGCATTTCCTTGTTGTTACAGGTCAAAGACTCCATCTGAGTTTTTTCCTGAAACTCTCCTCTTCCGGCTGCAAAACCAGCCCAAGTTGTGCAGCTACTGTGGTGGGATTTATCACAGCAGGTACCACCGCGCAAAGCACCTTTTTGGGCTCCGTGTTACGTTCCTGGATTGCCATTGCTGCCGTCACTGCTGCAGCAGAGGAAAACCTGAGAAAGTCTAAAAACCGTAGTTACCGGTGGTAATTCGAGATTAACATATTTTCAGACAGATTACTCAATCGCTTTGTTGTAATAATGCGGAGAACAACTAAGTGGACAGGTGTTTTAACCCAGTTCCAAGATTCTTCCTTCACAGATGGGCTGCTTTTTAAAGGAGCCAACGTACAGTCTCCCTTTCAACTGACACTGCTTGCACAGGACACTTTCCCACCAGGTTTCCTCATTAACCAATTACTTTCAGAAGAACTAAGGAAACAATACCTTTAAGCCATCTTTGGGCAGTTAAGCACCTGGAATTCAGCATCACGTGGAAAACCTATTTGTACCCCCAAAGTCTGGTAAATGCCACTGTGAAGATGCAAGTCTGACACACTCTGACACACCAGCCAGTCATCAGGTGGTGTTCACAGCTACTGTAACCAGACATTTAGTTCAGAATTTACGAAATAAAACTTGTTTGCCTTCCAGTGTACCTGCACTACAAACAGTTTCTTTTATGTACTCCAGAAATAAATACCTACTGGTCTAAATTGGTTTGACTGTTCAGAAATGCTTCCAAACTCTGCACGTGCACACTTGCTACTAAACCTGACGATATTCTGCTTGAACGCTCAAAAACTGCAGTGGTATAGACCAAGAACTAATTACTGAAATCACTAGTCACTAAATGGACAAGTTCTCTGGAGCAAAAGCCACCATATATCCACTGACTTCTTAACTAAGACGTTGACTATTTTTAGCTTTCAGAATTGAAATAAACCTTCCCAGCAAACTCAGAAAGCAACAAACGCCACGTGATCCAGGCGAGAATTTGCCAAGCAGCGCAGAATTACACTACAGCCACGGCAGCAAAATAAATACAGCCTTCCATAGTCAAGGTATGCAATGTTAAGAGACAAGATTAAGCGACTGTCACACACCCCCCCCCCAAAACAATTAAGCAAAATCCCGAGTGGAGGCCCAAAGAGCTTTTAGGCAACAACTATGACTTGACACTTAGTTGTCCCAAATATAACTTTCTTTCACTTCAAACTACCCAAGGCTTGCAAGAGTGTCTTTTTACATCTTGTAGTCTGAGCTGCAATTTTTAGGGCGACGTTTTGACATTGATGAGGAAGTACACAGGAGCGTACTTACACCTAGCACTAAGATTTGCACTGATACTCTATGTTCTCCTACCCTCGGTGAACAGCGGTGTGGCCAATCACTTAAGGGATTCACATCAAGCACAAAAAGCCAGATCCAATTCACAGCCCACCCCCCCAAAAAAAGATTTTCTTTTTTCCAGAGTGTGGTAGGTATCTGCACATGGTACATCAGTGGGCACTGCAAGAAAGAGCGGAGGCATGAACCCTCTTAAATTGCCAGGGTCAGTCACCAAGAAGGTTAGAAGCTGCTGACCCGAACTCTTCATCTGCAAAACAAGACGGTGTTCAGGAGAAGAACAACAAAATGCTCTGATAAACCTAGGGAGAAAGGATGTTAGGTACAAGGCCTGTCTCGCAGCGTAGATTACATAGAAAGAGGAAAGCCTAGGGAAACGCACAGGTCTCTTTCGTGATGTTGAAGGAACTACCGTGGTCAGGAGCTGTGCTCCAATGAAGGGCTAAAGTCAGCTTTGCCAGAAGCCCAGCGGCTCGCTCGCAGACGAGGGAAGGACAGCTTCATTAGGTGAGAAAACAGACCCCACCCACAAGCGTAATCATTTCTGCTAAGCCACATCAATAGCGGGGAACATACCGCGCAGGGATGGCAGCCCCACCGCCCTCACGCGTGCGGGGGGCTGGAGATCGACCAGTGACGGAAGGAGCCAGGTGGGCTCTCGCTGTAGCTGGCAGAGGGTCTGGGGGACAAGCTGCCAACGCAACCCCCGCGGGAGGGGAGGAGAGGGTCGCTCGGGGTCACCGACAGCGGAGAAAACTGCTGCGCTCAACTGCGGAGAGAAACCGAATCATTCCTCCCTGCGGCAGGGGCGAAGCCGGTGTCGGGTGTGACCGGGGCGGCCGGCTCTCCGAGGGCTTCGTGTCGACAGCGAGAGCAAGGAGGCGAAAGGGTGTGGGGGAACGGGGGTCCCTGGGGACCCGCGGGGACACTCGGACGCGGGGGGGGGGGTGCAGCCACCCAGGGCGGGGACGGGGCGGGGGGGGGGCGCTTGAGTGGGCCTGGCCGCTGGCCG